AGCAGATGGAGAGCCAGGAGCGGCGCTGGGGGGCTCGAGGATGGGCCGGTTGTAGAAAAAGAAGGGGCACTGCTGGATGAAGAGTTCGATGATTGTCTGGTAGGTGCGGGTGGCCGTCAGGGCATCCATCGTGCTGAAGTCGGGTCTCATCAGGGTGGGCCAGAAGCAGATGGAGAGGTTCTCGCTGGTCATCAGGTTCACCCGATGGTTGTGGCTGACCCTGCGGTGGGACAGAGGGGAGAAGATGATGCCGGCGAGGTGCCTGAAGGGACCCCGATTGCCTCGACAGCATCCAGCTGCAGCGGTGACCCCAGCCCTGGTGCTGCGAAGCTCCAAAGCCCTTCCCGTGTCCCAGGAACCCTGATACATACTTGTTCAGGTGCCCGATGACGTATTTGAAGACCTCATAGTTCTCCTTAGGAAACTTCCTCAGCACCTCCTTCAGCGCATGGAGCTTCTGCTCCCGGTCATTGATTTCTGCCAGGAGGGAAAGCAGGGTCAGGGGGCTGCCATGGCAGAGAAACACTTGCCAGCGTCGCAGCCGGTCGTGTGAGCATCCCGCTGCAGGCTCCCTCCTCTTTGGGGGGTGGATTTAGGACCACCAGCTTGAGCGGATCATCGGTCTTCCCGAAAATAAACCTGGCAAAAACCCATGCTGCTCACGGGCACAGGACAGTGCCGAGCGACGATGCTGGCCAGAAACAGGTTTGGAGGGTGTGAATTAATCAGGAGACATGCCCGCAAATGGGCTTTTATGGTATGAATTAACGAGATGTGCCTGCAAATAAGCTGGTATGGTATGAATTAATAAGGAGACAGGCCAGGCTGGGGCAGGAGGAGGGTTGGGACCCCCCAGGCTTACTCACTGTGGGCTTCCACCAGCTCAACCTGCATGGTGTAGGGGACCAGGGGCTCAGGCAGCTCGGAGAAGAAACTTTTCATGGCACCAGCCACGGTGTTCACGGTGAAATCCTTCTCAGCCAGGTCCAGCCCGTGATCTGCAAGGGGAGAGTCTTGGGGTTACACCCCCAGGCTCATGGTTGCACCCCAAAGCACTGAGGGGTGCGTGAAGGTGATGGGAGGGTTTGCCCCAAAGCAGCTCAGTGTTGCCACCGGTGGAAAAGCCCCTCCAGCCATGGACTCAAAGCTCCATTTCACAGAGGAGCCAAATCCCGATGCCCAGCAGCCAAGCCAGTGGCATGAGGGGGCAAAGGAGGGGCACAAAAATGGAAAAACGTGAAAAAACTTAGGGACTGGAGAGTCCCGGTGTGCAGCGTCACTCATTGGGATGGCATGGGGCAGTATGGCCGGGGTGGGAACGCCAGCCTTGTCCGGGTTATAAAAACAACAGGGGTGAAGGGTGTCCAAAGGTGTTTTCATCCTAAAAACACTTTGGCGGCGGCGGCAGCGGCGGGGACGTGGGCACGCCTTGAGTTTTGGGGTGGCAAAGGAGGAATCTCGGCCGCAGAGGTTACCCTGGTCGAACTGCCGCTGCAGGCTCTCCATCTCTGACTTGTTTCCGCTCACGCGATAGATGCCTTCGGTGCTCAGCCCTGGCGAGGAACAAGAGCCGACGTCAGTGCAAGGGGGGCACGTGCAGACGGCGGGTGGGGCTTTAGGGACAAACCCCCTTGTTTAAAATCCGTATGTCTCATTTGCTCCCCAAAGCCTGGAATTAATGATAGCCCAAATCCCTACCCCTCTGTGAAATCCTGCTCCTCTGGGAAATTCGACTTTAAACCCAGCCCATCACCTCTTCCTAACTGGAGGGAGTTCCCCTATTTATTATTTTTAACCTTTCAAATCCAGCAACCTGCAGCGATTTTTTTTTAATTAAAAAATTAAGAGTTACAGCAAATTAATGTTGAAGTCAAACCAACCCACATGGAGCTCTACGAAGAATTTCTCACCCCGATTTATCTTTTTACCCTCCATCCTATTCTTTTTTTACATGGCTCCTCCAAACCTCAACCTCGATTTTATGTGATTTATCCCCAGGGTAGCATTCAACTCCTGGTGTCACTTTGTGCCCACTTAAAGCGTTAATGATTAATCCAAATTACACGGTGATAACACTGATGTCTCTTCTGTGTAAGGCATCTTTGCTGAAATAATATTCATTTTTTTGAAGGAAAAAAGAAACAAAAGCCAGTCTCCCCAAAGAGAAAACACTGCCTGGATTTTCCGGATGGGAGACCAGGTGGTGAAGCGGCACTGTCTGTTTTTACTTGGATGCAGCAGCAATGTCGGCTCAAAAAAAAAAAAAGAAAGAAGCTAGAGAAAGGGGAAGCAGCTGCACCACGTTGTGCTGCCTCATCTCCCCGTTACGCCTACCTGGAGCGATAGCCTGGCGGGAGGGGAAAAAGCCATCAGAAAAAAAGCCTGGAGCTTATTTTGGCATTATAATTAGGGTTGCCAGAGGCTGGAAGGTGAAAACTTTGCGCCCTACCCATCAACTGCTCAGAGGGAAAGTACCCCCAAAAAACGTCCCACCTGAAGGCAGATGGAGTTTGCCTGAATTATTTCAGCCCTTCGCCTTGGAGTCTGGGATGGGAACAGGAAATGTCCAAAGCCAGTGGTTCTCCGGGCACGCTCATTTTCCCAGGTAACAGAAAAGAATCCGGGCAAGAGTTTTACACCTCCCCAGAAAAACCACCTTCACGACCCGAGCTTGCGAAGCAGAAGAAACCTCCCTACATGTTGCCATCCTGTGACAAGAGACCTCCTCTGGAGCAGAAAGCTCCACAGCCAGTTGCTCTTACCTGTCGCTTCGATGTACTCGATGCATCTCTCTATGAAGATGGGGATGGGTTTCTCTGCAGTCACTACGCTGGTCAAAGGCACCCCGAAATAGTTGCTTTCCCACGTCGTCTTTGTGATGGATGGCCGAGGTTTGGGCTTTGGTTTCTGTGGGACAGAGCGGAGCAGAGTTAAGGCAAACACCCCAAATATGCCTGTTTATTTAGATGCTTAAATCCACAAGTTGAGCCATTACCACCGAGACAGGAAGGATGCGGAGGCTGCTCTTAAAATCTTTACACGGCAAAGGATATCGGCAGCCAAAATCCGGTTATTCTGGCAGAAGCAGCCCGACCCAATCTGACAGGGAAAACTGGAGCCCCAATAAACTCCCGCTGCTCCTCCGCTGACTGAACCGTGCCGAGTGTAGCCATGGATAAAGCCTGAACCACAGCGACGGGTCTGCTGGGCTGAATTCCCAGCTGGGCCTGGTCCAGCGGGAGTTGGGGAGAGGGGAAACCCCCCTGGAGACGCACCCCCATCCGCAGCATCCTCACTGACCTGGGTAACCTGATGCTGATGCCGGTGGATTGCTATTTATCCAAGCAATTTGTTATTTATTCCAGTGAATTATTATTAGTTATTCCAATGAAGAATCATTATTTATTCCAATGCATGTTATATTATATATTATTATTATATTATTCACAAGACACTTATTCATGTGGGCTGCTATTATTATTTATTCAAGTGAATTATTATTATCACAAAGAGCTTATTTATTCAAGAGAGGGGCACGGAAGGACAGGGAAACTGCTTCTCCCAATAGTCCCTTCCCTGCGACAGGAAGTTAAACCTGACTGAAGGCTTTGCAAAGCCAATGGATTTAATCTCAGACGTCAGTCATCAGTGTCTAAGATGGAGCCTCGTGGATGTCACAGTTTAGATGAAAAATGAACAGTGGTGCTGTTTTCATCGAAATAGGCATTTTTGCCAGTCTTTAGCTGAAAAAGCCTCTCCAGGTGCAGAAGGGGATGACCACAAAGTGGCAGAATCCAATGGGACTTCACCAAGGGGAAGCGCACCCAACTTGGTGAACTTCTAGGATGAAGCGGCTGGCGTGGTAGAGGAGGGGAGAGTGGTGGACAGTGTCTACCTGGGTTTCAGTAGGATCTTTGACACCATCTCCACCAGATTCTCCTGGAGAAGCCACTGCTGAGCAGAGGGTGAGGGGGGCTGAAGACTGGCTGAATGGCCAGACCCAGGGGGTGGTGATCAGTGGAGCAGTGTCTAGTTGGAGGCCAGTGCCCAGGGAAGTCAATCCTGGGTCCAGTCCTGGATTAACGATCTGGATGATGGGGCAGATGACACTTTAAGTGGGAGGAGTAGCGGTTAGGTCAGAGGGTCATGCTGCTGTCCAGAGGGGCCTCGACAGGCCAGAGAAATGGGCTGATGAGAATGTCATGAAGTTCAACAAGAAGTGCAAAGTCCTGCCCCTGGGGAGGAATGACCCCAGGCACCAGTCTATGCTGGGGGCCACCCAGCTGGAAAGCAACTTGGCAGAGAAGGACCTGGGCCTTTTGGAGGACACCAAGCTGGCTCATGCTCAACAAGGTGCCGCGAAGGCGGCCAATGGTGTCCTGCGCTGCATTAGCCAGAGCGATGCCCGGAGGTGGAGGGAGGTGATCCTTCTCCTCTGCTCAGCGCTGGTGAGGACACACCTGGAGTGTTGGGTCCAGAGCTGGGCTCCCCAGTACAAGAGAGACATGGACATACAAGAGACAGACCTTCTGTCGGCCTTTCAATATATAAAGGGGTTTATAAGATGGAGAGAGACTTTTACCAGGCTCTGCACTGACAGGCAACCATTTTAAACTGACAGAGGAGAAGGTTAGGTTGGATGTAAGGAAGAGATGTTGTACCATGAGGTACATCCGCGGGGGAGCCGTGGATGCCCCGTCGTGGGCAGTGTTCAAGGTCAGCTTGGATGGGGCTTGGTGATTGAGATGATCTTTGAATGTTCCTTCAACCCAAACACTTCTGTGATTTTATGACTCTATGGATGAGCAACCTGGTCTAGTGGAAGATGTCCCTACCCATGGATCTTTGAAGGTGCCTTCCAACCCAGCCCGTTCCATGATTCTATGATCAGGATTTTGCTACTAATCTTTAAGGAACGAGCAAATAAGCCCTTCAATGTGTCACCAAAGCAAAGGTGGAAACCCAAACGCTCCTCCAGCCCAGGCAAGGTGGTACCCGCCCCTGCACACCATTCCCATTGGCAAAATGGAGATGAAACCATAACTCAAAAATAAATCCCCAAAATTAAGGGGGAGGAAGTAAAATGTCAAACACTGCTATTAGCAGTGGCATCCGCTGCCCGGCCATGTCCCTTGGCTTCCCCTTGGAAAAGTGCACAGGAGCAAAACCTGAAACGTCAGCTGGAAACCCCAAAAAGGCAGCTATAAACCCAAACCTACCAGCAGGAAACTCGTTTCTGTCAGCAAAGCCTCTTCCTCTTACAGAAGAGCACAGCCTGCACTCCTCTTAGCGCATCCCATGCCATGACAGCGAGAGTATCTGTCGCTGTAAGGGAAGTTTCTGCCGATGCAGGTATTTCGGGGAGACTCGAAACACCTTTTTCTTGGGGAACCTCAAAACACCTCTTTCGGATGACAGCAACTAGCTCTCTCCGATCACCAATCCCACCCCATGAGCAGGAGCATCCGGTCAGACCTTTCTTTAATGCAGTAAGCAGAAAACGATACTTTGGATGTAGAAGGGAAACCAAAGAAGTTCTCGGTATGACAGCACAGGGACCGGAATCGTTCCTGGAGACCGAGAGCATTACTCCAGCCCCATCCTCCCCACCGGGCAGAAGAGGATCTCATTTTGCTCCTTCCTGCTAGGCACATCGTTGTGGGTTCCTCTCCCTTTGTTTCCAGTGGAACTTAATAATGCCTCTTAATTACCCTGATTGGTTTTGCAGCAGCAGGCGGCTCTGAGAAGGACGTCCGGCGGCTCCGGCTGCTCCCTCTGCCCAATCGGGGGCAATGGCGCCTATGCTCCCCCTCCTTCTCCTGCCTCCCCTCTTCCTCACACATGTATATACACCCACATTGATGCAGAGCAGAAAATGAGACCTTTCACTGAGTGT